GATGACTGGTGTAAACATGATAACCATGAGATGCGTGTTATGTGAGTACATTACTACATGCCACAGTCAAGGCGCCAATACATTTTGACGTAATGCGGTACGCATGCTCGCCAGCGTTCATTTCGTCACGTCCGCCTGCGTTTCCTACGCCAGGCGCCGGTCCTGCCGTAGACTCGCAGGCACGCACCGCGCTGCGTTGCTTTGACGCATGCGCGTTTCAGCGCGTCTGGCGCCCCTCTGTCACGAAAACAGGTAGACGCAGTGTTGTCTAGGTAACGCATCCGCACGAAATGCAGCATGTCGCATTTAGCGCCGGTTGCCGTCGGGCCACGCCGACGGACGCTGGTCGCGCCTGGTGTCAGACTATAAGTGCTCGCGTCCTGCTAACGTAGCGTCGCTGTGCCCAGCGTGCGTGCGCGTCAACGCTACATTGGATCATATCTGGCCCTTCATGATGCACTCGTGGTCGTTTTACTAGCTCCACATATACCAATTTCGGTGTTACGTGACGGCAATGGATGTTGAAATATGTGACTGGTGCAAACATGATAATCTTGACACGCGTGTTATTTAGGAACATGACAACATACCATGCTCATAGCGTGCTCGCGGCCGTTTTCCTAACTCCACATATACTAAATTTGGTATCTCGTGAAGTGAATAGATGACGAAGGTAAACGACACGTCCAAACATAATAATCATGACACGGAAGTCATGTACGGCACCATTTACCTCCACCTGGTAACGTTTTGTTTATTTTAAAATGACAGTATCAACATTTCTCATTCGTGCTTCGCATATCATCGATTCCCACAGTACGTGGGATCATGCCATTTTTTTATTTATTCTTCTGGAGAGAGGAGGAGTGTGAATTCTCGTAAATACCAAAAAGCTGAATCTTAGTGATTGTGTCGTTAGACACGTTTCGGCGTAGCAGTTAAGTAAGCCTCATTCTCAGGCCGCGCAGTCATAGCTTACGGGTTGTGTTGATCGTGTAATTGGGTTCGGTGGTTTCTTCTTTCTCTTTCACTGTAATATTTCCGACCTCTGATATAAACCTAAAAGGGAAGTAAACGATTGTGCCTATCATGATTGTCATCTGTGCAAGAAGTTCCACGCTACAAAGCTTGTCATTGTGATAGGTGTGTTTGCTACAGCTATTCATCCCCGGCATCGAACGATGCCATGAACGCGGCTATTCTGAAGTCCCTTAGTCTATCCAGCCATTATGATCTAGTTGGCCTCTCATACGACGCCGTATGCTATGCACCCTGTGCTATATAGCATTCTATTCTCTATAATCCTATGCCATATATACGGTATTATACTAGACACTATATATGCAAGAAGTGTTGCGTATAGCGGTGAACGAAAGCATGGGTGAAGCTGATATAACTAGAGTCGTTCCAGTGGTAAAACGTATATAAAAGCATTAAGCTTGTATGAATAAAGAAAGAAAAGGAAACAAAGAAAACGAGATTGGCAGGTTGCTAGACTTTGCCATACAGCCCAAGACCGGTTTCATCGGCGGATCATGGGAGAGTCCTTTGCCCTGCAGTGGGTGTAGCCAGGCCGATAATAATTATTATGATGATGATGAGCATACAGAGTAATACCTACTCTTTTACCACACCATATCAACGTGCACTACACGAAGACAGGTCGACTTGTCAAAACTGGTTCACGCGACAACACTGTTTAAGCATTTCATATGAATAGTCTATACTGCACTATAGTACACAATATCCGTACAGTGTTGTAATACTGTGTTGTACTAAGCTATATTATACCATACTATACTATACCATTGCTATGCTATAGGTGCCACGTCCCCAGAGTCTCCGAGTCGACCTCCTGCCCGGGCCATCACGCAATCGCCTGGAGCAGCCGCTAGGACGACGGATAGGTCCACGTCTTGGGCATCTCTTAGTGCGCAGCTGCCAGGCATCGGGTCTGTTGGGAGTTCCGGGGAGCGTTCTTCGCCAATATCATCGGATGTGAACGTGGAAATCACTGTGAAGACTGGTCACACCGAGCTCCAACATAAGCACGACGTGTCGTCGCAGCCTACCTCCGCAATGTCGAACTCAAAAACACTTTCGAAGGATGTCTGGGACTGAAACTCCGCTCGCATACGCCGCACAGTTGCTCAGCGACCTTCTCTAAGGAAGCTTCGAGAGAAGCCAATGAAGCGTGCGGCTGATAAGCGTCTGTCGGTGCTAGAGGACAAGGTAACGAGATACCAAGTATAGCTGGAACGCCACCTTGATGTTTGATTCATGTACTTGCGCTCCTGCGCTTAACCATGACTGCGCAGAATTTTATCGTCTATGTGTGTGTTTGTGGGGTGTGGGGAAGCCCCTTCCTAGTTTCCTAAGAGAGAGGGGGACGCTAAGTGTGCACCATACTTCGGGAGCTGCTGCAATCAACGTTCGCCCCCCCACCCCACCCATTGAAGGGAACCCTGCTTGCGCATGACTATGCCTGACACTATCTATTCGTGTGACACTGTACAGTTCAGAATAATCCAGTAATAATCTCCGAGGCTTTAAGCGGCCCAACCATGATAAGACTGAATCGCGCTGAAATGGAGGGGCCAGAGGGGCTGCACACCACCGGCAGCAATTACATATACTTTTAGACCTGCCAGGCATGACCTCCCACTGTGGCGCACGCTGTTCTTGTACAGCGATCAGCAGAGTGCTGACGCATTTGTACGGGTTGTGTTCTCACTGCTCGGATGGCGATAAACCGCATCAAAGTCACTTCACTCGATGCAGCGGCCGCGTTTTTTTACGCCAGCATTTTGTTGACTTGCGCAAGGTTGTATGCTAAATGAGTCAGCCGCTAGCCTTATTTCGTGTCACATTCCAATATGTCCATATCGCATTCATTGCATCGCCGTGCGGTGACAATTACTTTCTTGAAGAAGCCCCGATCATTTGATTATCAGAATTAGCGTTCCCGAGAGGCCTGCGTGAGGCACTTTACCGAAGCCTGCACATGCTTTTCAGCACGCTACAAGCCACATCTGCAGCGGAAGGCAGCAGCTACTCCCGCATGCCAGCTAGAGCAGCTTCTGACAAAAGGTCGTTGAGCGTTTCCCTGCCGGTCCTTTCAGTCCCGAGCACCGACACTACGACCGCGCTATCGCAACACAGCGCTGTTTCGTAAGTCATTATCGAGCTTTCGTTTAGGTAACTTGTTTGTTTGCTTGTTTGTTTCTTTGTTTGTTTCTTTGTTTGTTTGGTTGGTTGGTTGTGTGTACCTAATGAGTGAGTGAGTGAGTGAGTGAGTGAGTGAGTGAGTGAGTGAGTGAGTGAGTGAGTGAGTGAGTGAGTGAGTGAGTGAGTCAGTCAGTCAGTCAGTCAGTCAGTGAGCACCATAAAGAAGCCAATATCCAGTGTACGATTCAGGGCGTGCGCGCCACACACTTCAAGCTGCAACATTTGTATACTTTTCAGTATACCTCGCACATATCGCGTCTGCGGACATACCATCTGTACGGCGAGCTTTTCAAAATCATTAGTCAATCTAACTGTACATGATGTAAAATCTCATTTTTCTCATCCAATGCACGTTGCGACTCTTTTGTGACTACATGCAGCCAGGAAGCTCGCCGAGCGGAAGCGAAACATACCATCGCGTCCACAAGCCGTGCCGCGGAGTTGCCAAATGAACTTGACCATCACGGTTGGAACGGAGTCGTTGATCACAATTTCTTAGGCGTTGTGAAAAACATGCATGTGCATTGCTTTCGAGGTGCTCATCAAACCTGTCCCATACGAGAGAAGTGAATTGCGCACTCCGCGTTCCTGAACACACAAATAAAGATGAAGCAACACGTTAATTGACCATAATCGCACTAAACATGCAGGACTCGGCAGCAACGATGGCATCGCTCGCTAGCGGCTTGTTAGTACGACAAATCTGTCAGGCAGACATGGTACATATACTTGGAATGCCGTTCAGTTATTACGTCTTGTGCAGCGCACACAGTATATTGTAAAACATCGTTGATGCACGGTAACGGAGCCGGAATACAACATCTCACACCACGGTAAATAATGAGTAGCGAGCATTTCGCACTTTACATGGTTCTGGAAACTATCGCACAACACGCCACCCATAGTTTGTAGGAATTTCAAATTAAGAAGTGCGACGAGAGCACGAACTGGAATGTCCTCGTCCGCTCCAGTGGTCATCCACATACACAGAGTTTTCTTTTTCACGTTTTTTTCTTTAAAGCGTATTTGCCATTTTTGCGCCATGAATAACAAGAATCTGTTTGCTTCGTGTATAACATCAAGAGTCCTGTATAGAAAAATTCTGCCTTAAGCACAACTGAGCTTCGATGGTAAATGGGTAAAACAAACTTCTTTCGTGCTCTTTATTATACCAGTGTTTTACTTAGCTTTAGAATTATGCGGTAAAAAGGTGAGCATACTTTCGCATCGTTACAAATATGAACTGTGGCGACGACGCAACGAAACCCTAAATGCAGTCTCTACGTAACTCTGCTTGCAGAAGTCGCGCAGCGCCGGTCTGTCTGTCCATTACAACGATGCTCTTTGTCATCACCTTCGCTTTCCTGTACCTGCGGCCGCACTTCACTCGATGGATTCCGGTTCCTCTCGCGACCCACCACAGCCGGAGCCTACAGCGCAGATGAACTGGTCGACTGCGTCGATACATCCAGCCAGCTAGCCGTCCAGCTCGCCGACGGCGTCATATATGGAAAGTACAGCGAACCAGCGGACCCCTCGGAGCCTCAGGTTCGAAACTTTTTCGGCATTCGCTACGCGGCCTCGACAGCGGGCAGCCGGCGCTTCAGCGCGGCAGTGGCGTCCCCACCGTGGAGCGCCAACAGGCACGTTCCACGCGTACGAGCACGGTCCTCCGTGTGCGCAGATGTCCCCGGCGAGCCGCACGCCCGTAGGCTCCGAAGACTGTCTGACGCTGTCCATCTGGTCACCATTCTTTTGTCAACCGACCGGACATGCTCAAGACCGTCGTGGTCGCCTTGAGCACCGACTGGTTCCAGACGGGCCACCTCGCCGACTATCAGGACTCCTGGCGCCGGATGGCCGCTTACGGAGACGTCGTAGTGGTGGCGCTCAACGTCAGGCTCGGAGCGTTGGGTTACTTGAGGACGCCCATGAAAGAGGCTCCGGGCAACGCGGCCTTCACGGATGTCGCGGTCGCCCTGTCCTGGGTACACACCAACGTGGGCGCCTTCTACGGGGACCACACACAGATGGTAGCTGTAGGCCTTGGGGGTGGTGGTTTGCTGCTGGCGATGGACCTTCTCGCCGATGAGCGCCCCGCACCCTATTTTAAGCGCCACGTTATCCACGGCCTGTCACCGATGTCCCTGCTGCCGCGGAGTGACGTCGCCGACGCGTGCATTCTGGCCAAGAATCTCGGGTGCCTTGTCGACTCTTCTACGTTCACTGAAGAGATTCTGAGCTGCCTTAAGGGCAGGGACTACGAGGACCTCGTAAGGGCGAGCCAGATGGTGGGGAACCTGGGATTCGTACCTTCGAGGGAAGACAAGCCGCTCTCAGTTCCACGCGCTAGTCACGAACGTTGCCACCAGCCCACTGACGCAAGTGAGCGTACTGTGCGGTTACAGCCTGCGAGACGCACTCGCGTCCGTGGAGTACGTCCTCACGAAGAACAACGTGACGCGGGAAGGCGACAGACCGAGAGAAATGATGACCCGTGCGGCGCGCCTCTTCGGTCGATCGAATGGGACCGGTGGCGGCGCTAATCTGCCCGACAGAGCCAGATCCTTTCTAGCCAGCCTGGATCGCTCGGGAGTAAGCCGGCTGCTCGTGGACGCCATGTACCACTGCCCGTTGCTTGACTTGGCATCGGCGGTGACCGAGAGAAAAGGCTTGGCGTTCTTCTATGTCTACATCGGTACCGGACTATTTGAACCAGTGTTAAACCTTACAGCACTGATTCATTTTGTGAAGACCGGGTAAGAGTACTTCATTCTGGTCTGGCTTATCAGTTGAAATGCTCAGAGAGCTAGCTTGAGCTCAGTGTGCTGTAAATCATCGTACCTAGCCACGTGATGGTGTGACAAAAAAGCTTTTTGTCACTCCTCGTTCAAGTTTTACGCATCAAAATAAAATAGTATGATCGAACATTGCGTATAAATATAGCCATTTAAGGATCGCACCTAATACCATTGTGAGCTTAAGACTCTGAAATATTCGGTATCCGAGTACACTTCGAGAATGAAGTACGGCGCGCCAAAACGTGGGAAAAGGTCTTTGCGTGCGGTATCACTGTTTCAGATGGCGTAAGCACCTTTTAAGAATATATGCTTAAGTTTGTGAAAACGTTAGTAACGAAATGTTTGTGCAGGTGCTGCAGCTTGACAGTCGTCTGTCACAATCATACAATGCGGACCGTGTTGGAGTCACGCATTAAGCAATAAATCGTTTACAAGATGCCAACAGTCACGTGATATGATATGTATCTACTACTCTTAACACATTTTTTATCTTATCTTTTTTTATTCCAGGGTACTTCCCTGGGTTCCTTTCGGCATCAGTGAGGAAATAATCATCCTCAACAGCACCGTCGACTATTGGCCACTTGGAGGATGGAGAAATGGAATGTGCCAGATAACACGAGAAATTGTCAATGCATTTTTCACGTAAATAAATACCTAGTATCTAACGAAAAAAAAAACGTTGATGTATCCCAACTGGCACAGGCTTGATTTTTAATTGTTCTGTTGAACAAAAAAACTCACTGTAAGTAATGTATCCACAAAAAAAGAGAGATCTCCGAGACTGAAGCTGAACTTTCAAGTAGTGTATTTTAATGATAGAAGAAACAAAGAACATAAAAACACGCATTCTAGGGCATACGATGAACCGACTGCTCTCTGGTACACGTAGCATTCAGGTATTCGGTACATGCGTCTCTCACGTTGTTCGAGCGGATAACATGTCTGTACTCGCACAGTGTGTGCAAGGTTTTTCAACTTAAGATTTACAATTACAAGTACACTTTAACTCGTACTGGTAGCATGAACACGTAAGCTAAGGTTTATTGTATTTGAGCAAGTACGCGTGCAAGAAAGCACTTACGTACATGTTGATGCTATAGAGCTACAAATATACAATGATCTTGAGAGGAAGAGTAGATACTAAACACAAAAGAAAATACTACCGTGCATGGTTAAGCAGTGTTACAGCTGTGTGTGGTGGTTAGTAGCACAGGATAGGCAACAATTTTTTTAGAGAAAGAGTAAGAACTCCTGTGAAGCAAAAACTATTGTAAAGGCGATATTTAAAAACGCTCGTTTATCGTTGTCTTGGGACATGCTGAAGAACTATATAATGTAACGGGTTCAAGAGAAGAAACACCGAAAACTAGTTTATTATGGGCGAACTTGGGCCCTGAAAATTATGTGCATAAAATGGAAGATTCCGCTAGAGTGTTCCAAAACAAAAAAATGGCAGCATATCCAAGGAGTGAATGATGGAGAGTGGGGCGAAAAATTGGTCCGTCCATTCGTTCTTGCTTCCGTCCGTCCATGCGTTCGTCAGTGTGACCGTCCATGCGTCCATCAGCCCGTCCGTGCGTGCGTCTGTTCGTGCGTCCGTTGCTGCGTTCATCCAAGCAGCCGCCCCTGCGTCCGTTCATGCGTCCATCCATGCATCTGTCTATGTGTCCGTTCGTCCATCTATTCAACACTCCAAGTACCACCATCTCGCATCTTTTCATCATATATTCCCCATATAGAAGCACCGCCATCCAGCGGACATTCGAAGGACTAAACGAGAGGTGGCACACGCACACTTTCTTACGGCTTGCGCTTCGGGTCCACTTCCCACCTTTAGCCACCTCGAGTTCATGGTATATACTAGTTCACTGTATTCATGGCACTGCGGCCGAACGCTCGCTAAACCTTTCGAAAACCAAGGAGGTTACGCCCAGCGAGTATGACGTAGCAAACTTTTTCAGTCAGATAGTGCTCAATGTACATGCCAACGGCTGCTAATGGGAAATGAGAGGCGGAGAATTCGGCTTTTACTTTCTTACGGCTTGCGCTTCGTATCTACTTCTCATTTTTAACCACCTCGAGTTCATTCATGGTATATACAAGTTCATTGTATTCATGGCACTGCGGCTCAACGCTCGCTAAACCTTTCTAAAGCTAAGGAGGTTACACCCAGCGAGTATAACGTAGCAACCCTTTCTTGTCAGATAGTGCTCAATGTACATACCAATGGCTGCTAATGGTGATCGCAGCCTGCGCGTTAACTAAAAGCCGAATGCTCCTGTCTCTCATTCCCTATTAGCAGCCATTGACATGTACATTGAGCACTATTTCTTATTGTTCAACAACGCACAGAAGTCTCTCACCGGCACCACCTTGGAGGTCAAAACGTTATACATGTTACATACTACGGGAGACGAACGGGTGCCGTTATAAGGAGTTTCGCCCCTAAAACAGTTCATCCGCCAACACGCCTTCTTTTTCTTCGCAGTCCACACACTGAGGGGGGCGCTGCGAGCGCTCGATGGTGACAGACGCACTCCACATCGCCTCCGTAGGTTTTCTGCTATTTCTGCGGACATCCACCTTGGTACCCCTGAAACTTGGATTTATCGTCACCGCCAAGTTCTCCGCTTCGCCTAGACAACACCTTCGTCCAGGTGGGTCCAGTTTTGACAACTTGAGGGACGTCCTTCACTCCCGGCTACAACGCCGCCTCGCTAAGGGCTCTCAACCCGGCGATGGCGGCCGCTAACGTGGTTACGGGCTATAATCCTACCTCAAGCCAAATGCTGTCCATGGAGATTTCATCCTCCGAAAACACTATGCTATCAGAAGATGAATACCTCGACGACATGATGAAACTGTGGCAACGCAAGCAAGCGAAAGCGAAATCTGCGTCTCAACAACAACGAGACGCCACAGCTGGCCGCCATTCCCCAGCCTTGCAAGGAACGCCGGCGCGCCATCCCTCCGGCGGTGTGCCTACCTCTGCTCCGTCCTCGCAGCCAGCGAAGCAACGCAAGTGGCGTCCGCGTCAAACTACTCGCCTCTCTCGCGACGACTACATCGTAGTGCTGAAACCTCGCGTTCCCTGCGAGCTACGCACATTTGTCCCGGCCGATCGCGCGGGCGACGCCATCCGCAGCTACCTCGGCGACCGGACTACCACGCAAATTCAAGTGTGGCCAATCTGGGAACAGAACATCTTGGTCTGTAGCACCACCATTTGCCTATGGCACAGCGACTCCTCGGGGACTTCCAGCTGCAAGTGGGGGATCAGCAGCTGCCCGTTCGAGGCCACGCCAAGGCACCAGGGGATACATGCAAGGGCGTCATCAATGTAAACCCTGCTGAAAGCCCGGAAAAGATAAAGTCTGAACTGTATTGGCCTCAAGGTACTATCCTTGCGGTCCGCAAACTCGGAGATTCCGCGGCGGCGGTGCTGACTTTCGAGGGCACGAAGTTACCCCGCTTCCTCTTCTACCACTGCGTGGCGACGTATATCCGCGCCTATAAGAAAACGGTCCCTGTATGCACCAAGTGCGGTACCATCGGTCATCGACCACCTCAGTGCCCTCACGCCGCTCCAACCCAGTGTGCGAAATGTGGAACCCCCGCACCTGCAGGTCTCAATGCCCACGACTGCCACCCCAAGTGCCTCCTCTGCCACGGCGCCCATGAGACTGGGACCAGTGGCTGCACAGCAAAATACCGAAAATATCGGAAACGCAAGCAGCCCTCAACATCTCCTCGAGGGACCACCTCATGTTCGTCACAGCCAGACAGCAGCACAAACCTGCATCATTCGGCTCCACCACTCCACGCCGACTCTCAAGCATTCCTACCGCTCGAAGCACCAGCGGCGGTACCTCAGGTGAGCAGTTGGGCAGGGAAAGCTGCTTCTAAGCCTCTCTCACCCCCTTCTGTCGATCCTCCTTCTCCCGAACTTCCGGCCCTTCGCCAGCAAGTTGCGGCACTTCAAAAGCAAAATTCTCTTTTAACTAAACAACTCGAACTCTTAAATAAGCGACTTCAACCCCAACAACAGTGTACTGCAAGGCCATCCGGTATTGCCTCCTCTGTCCAGGCAGCTACGCCAGCTACGTCCAAGCTTAGTTCTTGCGCTAAGTCCACTCCCATTAAACCGCCGGTTCAAGCAGCCATGTGTACTCCAGCACTCGGAACCGGTGCCACATCTACTCCAGAAGCTCTTGAGGCTCCTGGGGCACCTCAGGTTCTCTTGCCCGCTAACCAAACTCTCCCTAGCGAAGAGCACACCCCGCGCGTGGAGGAACGCCTCACGCGCGTCGAAGCTTCGATTAATCACCTCCTCACCAGCTTCTCGGTCCAACACATAGTAGTAGAGGTTACCCAGGCTATTCAAGCCTGGGCAGTCACCCAGTTTCAACCCAAGGCATCGCGTTCCCGCTCCTGCTCGGTGAGCAGTGAGGGTACAGCTCCACGGCGTCGTCGTAAGGTGGCTACCACCACCCCGCCGTCGGACAATCCAGCCTCCGTGCCCCTCCCTGCCTTTGAGGATTCCGAGCGGGACATGGAGGACCAAATATAAAACCTAGGACAGTCACAATGGCTACCAATCGTACGTCCCTTTCAAACATTGCGTCTAAATTCGAGATCATACTGTGGAACCCTGGAGGCTTCGGGAACAGGCGAAAGCGTTCACATCTTTCCCTTTTCCTCAGCTCACTTGGCTCTCAGCCGGCCGTCTTGGCGCTCCAAGAATCTGGCCCTGCTCCATCCCTTTCTGGATACTGCTCCTAAGTAGGCGGCACCACCACATGCCTCCTCGTGCATAAAGCTTACACGGCGATACAGATCGACCTCGATCTGGACCTTCCTTACGACTACTGCATGATATCAGTGCTGTCTCAGCGAAGGGGCCAACCATCAATACATATCTTAAACGTGTACTGTCCCCCTCGCCTTGCGAGGGCTTCGTTTGCGCATCTCTTCCATCGGGCACTGCGTATAGCGGCCCGACAACCACTGGTGATTGTCGGGGACTTTAATGCCCCCAGCCCTCACTGGGGTTACCACTACGAGAAGGCCCGGGGCAGAGAGCTTAAGGAGCTCATTTCCTCGCTGAGCCTGACGCTTCTTACCGATCCGGCACAACCCACACGTTCCGGCAACTCGGTCACGCGAGACACATGCCCCGACCTCTCCCTCACCCGTCACATCCGCGATGCTACATGGGAAAATTTAGGCGAAAACCTAGGCAGCGATCACTTTTTACTCCGCATTTCGTTCACACCGCGGCAGAAAATGCGCCAACACTGGGGCCAAGCCCGTCTCACCGATTGGTCTCAGTTCAGAATGCAACCATTCCCCGCCGGCCTCTCCTCGACCGAATATGCAGCGTGGGCATCATACGCTCTTCATATGAAACAAGCGAACACTCGCACCCTTGCAACCTCTAATTTGACTCCTGCGATCGATCCACACCTCCTACATCTTTGGCACGCTCGCCGCGGGCTCATAAGGCGCTGGAAACGCAACAAACTTAATCGGAAACTTCGCGCTCGCATTGAGGCGCTCACTGCAGAGGCGGCCGCATACTCCGCACAACTTTCCGATGCTAACTGGGCAGACACCTATTCGAAGGCTGCAAACCAGATGAGCTCTAAGAGTGCGTGGCGACTCTTTAGAAGCCTTCTCGATCCCTCCACCACCAGGGGAGAAACGCAACGCCAGCTCCACCGTGTTCTGCCTGCATTTCAGGGCACTACGGATGAACTCGCGCGAGAACTTTGTGACCGCTACATCTGCCGCACAATTGATCCCGCAGACCCAGCATATACGTATTCCGGCGCCCCTAACACCGACCTCGACGCCCCATACACGCTTTCTGATTTACGATTTGCACTCATGAAAATGCGACGGGGCACGGCCCCTGGACGCGACGGAATCACAGTATCGCTCCTGGCAAATCTTCCCGACCAAGCACACCTCTCGCTACTCCAGCTTATAAATTCGATATGGGACGGTTCTCCGCTTCCAACGGAATGGACCACATCGGTCGTGACATTCATTCCCAAATCGGCAAAGTCCATTAGTATTGAGGCACTGAGACCCATCTCACTTACGTCTTGCGCAGGCAAACTCATGGAAACCATGGTTCGCGAACGCCTTTCAGCCTACTTGGAGGCCAGGAGCACCTTTGCCGACACGATGTTTGGCTTTCGCCCGCATCTGTCGGCGCAGGACGTCCTGCTCCAGCTTCAACACGATATCATAGAGCCGACTACTATGCGCCATAACGATAAAGCCGTGCTCGCTCTCGATCTCCGCGGGGCGTTCGACAACGTCAAACACAGCACTATACTCACTAACCTGTCTACCACAAACTGTGGGCAGAAGACTTTCAACTACATTCGCGCCTTTCTATCACATCGCACCGCCTTCATTCGCCTTAATTCTACCGAACATGGCCCGTACTTATTAGGCACGCGGGGTACACCTCAAGGGGCAGTCCTGTCTCCTCTGCTTTTTAACCTGGCGATGATGAACCTCCCCTCTCTTCTAAGCGAGATCGAGGGAATACAACACGCACTATATGCGGACGATATCACAATCTGGACCAACACCGGCTCCTTAGCGCAAATCGAAGAACGCCTGCAAAAGGCTGCCCTTCTGGTGGACACCTACGCAGGTTCATGCGGCCTGGAGTGCTCTCCAGCTAAATCGGCTCTTCTTTCAGTCTCTCCGCTACCGCCGCCTCAAATTTTTCTTCTGTCCGGGACCGTCCCGGCAGTGCAAAATATTCGGGTTCTTGGCCTTCACCTCACATCGTCCTTGGATCCAAAGGGCACAATAGCAGGCCTCAGACGCAACAGCGAACAGGTGAGCCGCATGATACGGCGAGTTTCTACTAAGCGCGGCGGCCTCCGCGGGTCTCAGTCCCTCCGATTGGCCCACGCGTTTGTGACCAGTCGCGTCCTCTACGCCTTGCCTTACCTTCGCCTGCGTCGTCGACACGAGCACCAGCTGGACGTCCTTCTTCGTTCAGTATACAAACGCGTTCTGGACCTACCTATTGCAACTTCCAACAGCCGATTCACGGCTCTGGGGGTACACAACACCTTTGCAGAGATGCGCGAAGCTCATCGCGTTAACCAAATCAATCGACTGTCGCAGACGCCTTCAGGGCGCCGTCTTCTACACAGACTTGGCCTTAACCCGATATCTGACCAAGACCCTCTGCAGCCGGTACCAGAGCTCTGGCGTCAAAAGCTATGGGTGGAACCTCTACCCCGTAATATGAACCCTGACCTCCATCCTGGCCGTAGACTAGCACGCGCCGCGGCCCTTCATACGCGACACTCCGATCGTCCTGGTGTTTTCTACGTGGACGTCTCGGGTCCCTCCCCCTCGGGTCACTTCACGGCTGCCGTGATTACAGAGGGCAAACACGTAGATGGCCTCTCCTTTCGAGCAGACACAGTAACGCACGCTGAAGAGGTTGCCATAGCTTTGGCCGCCTCTCACCCTGCCTCACGCACCATCCTGACGGACTCGCGCTCGGCCTGTTCTCGGTACTTTCAGGGTTCCATTGCTCCGCTGGCGGCTAGCCTACTACAGGCAGCCTCTTGGCGCTTTAACCCTCATGCCATTCGTATAGTGTGGACCCCAGGCCACTCGAGCCTGCCCGGCAACGAGGCGGCAAATGCCGCGGCCCGCGCTTCTCCTGTCCGGGCCGTTGCCCCTCCATGTCCCGAGACGGAATCTGGCAATACCAACCTGACGCGCTTTCACGAAATTTTGGCTTATTACCGGGCTTCGCGCCACCTCTACCCACACCCCGCACGCGGTCTAGAGAAAGTGGACGAACGACTGCTACGCCGCCTGCAGACAAACACCTTTATCAGTCCGGCGGTCGCCAGGCACTTTTTGCCGGAAATCAATGGCACCTGCTCGACCTGTCATGTCCTCGCCGACACTTATCACGTCGTAGCATCGTGCCCAGTCAATCCCGTCCCTTTCTCATCCCCTTTTCTTATCCCAACTAGAGAGGCTTGGGAGGAGCACCTGCTTGGCTGCTCTACCTTGGCTGCACAACGCTCCTTGGTGGAGCGCGCACGGGCAGCTTCCAGCTCCACTGGCGTCCCGGAATAGGGTCTTGCCACTCTAGCACGCCGATGGGCCACGTCGGCACTCTCTAGTAAACTTTTTCTAAAAATAAATGTTTTTTACCACCACCTACCACCACACACTGACTCGTGGCCGAAAACGAGAGGCATGAGTCGTGCGGCCACAAGCAGGAGCGTGCACAAGACTGTGAACGCTGATTCTTCATAATATCGGATAGTGTAATTAGTCTCTGTGGCAATATGATTAAGGTAGTTTGAACCCTTTCATTGTGTCATCTATAGTAACTCTTGTGTACTCTGGTGGCATTGGATTTCGCTATTCAGTTTACATTAACGTAGCGGAGACTTAGTGCAGATGCATATCAGCAAACGCGAGTACTACTACATTACCGGGAATATCGAGGAGTCAAAACGCGCATTTCTGGGTACATTTCTTCTACTACACTGACCGAATGTGTTACACTTATCTGCCGGACAATATTTCACAGCAACGCAATCACCACGAAACTGATTTTTTTTTTTTTTGCAGTAAAGAAGCTCTACGTACGAAGCGATACGCGAGACAATTTCGGGGAAGTTCCGGTGTGAACACGAAATTACCAACGACGATGTCATGTGAAGATGTCCTGCGAATCATGTGAAAAGTTATGTCATAGTGACGTCATTATGACGTCACATGGTGGCGTCACTTTTTGTAACGACAACGCGGGTGGTGATAGCCGCCTTGCCGAGGTCGGGTGTATTGTACTGCGTCACCATTGCGTTTTATGCATCGCTTATGCCTTACAGATAACTTACAGCTATAACGTAGGAATATAACCACATTTACCACTCCAACAAATAACTGTACATATAGCTCGGACAACAACTTACAACTTTGTCAGATGTGCTGTTCCCACCAATTCCTGTAAGAGTTTGCGTTGTCTCGGTGATTTCCTTTTCCTGCAGTGTTCGCGCACGCTTTCTTTATTTTAATATAGCAAATGTGTTTGCTCGATCGACTAAGAGCTGTTCCATAGCTGCCGTTAAGACGGCCGGAGTTTCTTCCCTTTAAGCACCTTCTGCACGCATATGGGTCCGTCCACGTTGAACATAATGCGTAGTACTCCGAATGTCAATTACCTTCACGTGCAGCAAATGTAAGGAACGAGTAAGTAACAACAGGCACAATCATTCGTGTCGCCGGGGGACATGCGCTGACCATTCTTTACGCGTCGATTGCTGAACGAAACATTACGCAAGGCGATTCACGACATCGAGGCGGTTAAAAGCTTCTTCGGCGAGCTCAATTTGTGTCTTTTCTCCTGCCTTCGTTGAATGATGGGAATAATCGAGGCTCTCGAACACGTCCCGACGTTGTAGTGAAAGCGTCTGGGAAGGAAAGGTCTGGCTGACACAGATTGGTGACGGAGGGAGAGAGTAGAGGCATTTGGATATATAGAGCTGGGCTCGCAAGGCGTCGGCGCCATCGCTTCTTGGATCCACGACGACCGTCACTAAACGCAAGGAAGGCCATGCGTAACGTAGCCAAACAAACGATGCACCACCCCTCACCCGGCACTTCCCATCCACTGTCGAAGCGTCCACATCGGCGGCATAAGGGTGGGCGACACATCGAAGAAGAATCGATTGTACATCACCGCCCCACCGTGGCTCGTACAGCGTCATTCTCCCCTCCTTTCCTTCCACACACCCGGACGTCTTCAAGCTGAACGCCAGAAGAAGGTAGCGGCAGGCGGCCCCTGGAATTGGAAGATAGCCATATACGCTGTCCGTGGCTATAGCTCTGTAGCGTGCATCAGCACCAGTTGAGATGTGCGCGGTGCGTTTGATCAAGCGCGAGCTCTTTCGTTGGTAGGAAGAATCACTGTTGAGGAGGCACTCGAGCCATAAGAGAGCGCGGAAACGCGTACTTCTTGTTATATGAATGGTGTAGCGCGCCTGGTTCTGCTTCGTCGGGTGCAGGCCACTGCTCTAGCGCTAGCGATGCCGAAGGCCAAGAAACGTGAGCTCCTGGTTGTACTCGTTTTAGCAGGTGAGTTCCCTCTAAACTCGTTCTTCTACCTCTGTCTCTCATGTCTTCCGGCTATCTTGCTGAACACTTCAAAATACATTGACCAAGGTGAATATTTTTTCGCTTCGACGTTTCGTCTCAAACACAGGAGCCTTATTCACATTTTTTTTACTTTCATTTTGAGAACGCAATATTGAAGTAGCGATATATTCTCACCTTGGTCTTCAAAGTTTTCAACAATCTTATATCGCAACCACACTAGATTGCGTCAGACCTTCCACATAATCTTGCTGTTATCTATTTCGGGAACATAGGTGGTTAACACGGCGAAAAGTGCATCAGCCATAAAGCGATGGGCAGATTGGGATTCTATATTGTCGCATTTGCCATAATGAAATTTCTATGGGGCTAATGGGAACTCCTCTTAACGTGGTAGCGTCATAGAGCTTGTTTCTCAGAAATTCTAGTGTCGACGTTGGCATCGGTATTAGTGTGGTTGGCTTTGAGCAACAAATCAGCATTGTCCGAGACCAAAAAATTGCAGCATATCCACGGAGTGAATGATGATTGGTGGGTCGAAGCATTCGTCTGTCCGTCCGTGCTTTCGTCCACTCATTCGTTCATGCTTCCGTCCGTCCATGCGTCTGTCCGTGCGCTAGTCGGTGCATCCGTCCTTCCGTGCATCCCTCCGTGTGTCCATCCGTACACCCGTCCTTCTATCTGGCTGTTCATTCGTCCGTCCGTGCGTCTGTTTGTGCAGCCATTCCTCTGTCTGTCTTTCCATCCGTCCGTCTGCCCACTCCTGTGTCTGTCTGTGCGTCCATCAGTCGATCCGTATATCTTTATGTCTGCCCGTCGGTCCGTCTTTCTAATGAACACTCGAAATATCTTTCTCATCTTGTCATCATGTATTCATCATATACAAGTGCCTCCATCCCGCGGACATTCTAAAGACCGCTCTTTCGGATATGCGCTACCGGTAGGTATACATACACCATCGGAGGATGTACAGACCCACACTCTAAGAAGCTTTGCCCCTAAAAATCAAAAAAGAAGAGAAAAAAATAAAAGCTATCGGTTTCAATGAAAATAGAGCCCAAGCTTCCAGCGTGTCACGCAGGAGTTCTACCACAAAGCCACGATATTGCCTGAAACTGGCTCGAGAAAAAAAAAACTCTATATGAATGTCATGTAGTGACAGGGGCCTTCTTAATGCATGTAATAAATACTGCGTGGTAGACGCTTATAAACGCGTCGAAACGTGCTGATTGCGGGAGAAGTGAGTGTTTAAAAAGTCCCACCCATCACAAAGGGTTCAGAGATGTGCAATCATATTCATAATCAGAAAGAGCCCCAACGAAGTGAGCAGCTGCGTAGGTTCGCACGTTGCCTTACGCTACTCTACCTGCAGAGGGCAATCTAGGACAGTTTGAAATGGCCAATGTTACGCGCAAATACATTCTTTTCACTGCAGCAAGGAGCAGGCATGCGCCAAAAAATCAAATCCAGGCTTACAATTGCGAAATTGATGCACACGAGGCCCAATTACGCAAACACGTTGCACAACTTAACGCGAAGCTCAAGATTTCTCCGAGTATGTTTATTAGGGATTACCTGAATACCCCTTATTTATAGCGTACATTTCCGCGAACTTTCCTGCCCCCTCATGAAACATGTTTTCCCCGTCTGTGTCCAGCAAGGGTGAACGCATTCGCATCGAAGAGAGCACGAATCCGAACGAAAGGTATTTAACACGCCACACTATTTTGACCAGCATAGACGGGTTGTTCATGTGGACTGTTTCTTCCCAGAAGGATATAAAGGAAGCCGAATGTTACGAAAAATACAATTAAATGTCTGGGCTTCATTCTGTATAAGGATCAAAAGCAAAGTCGTGTCTACGACTTGGTTTTAAAAATGCAGACTTTATGAAATCAGAAAGACTGGGAGAAGGTCACGTCCTGAACGTGAATAGAGAAAAACGAACTCCATCAATCTTGAGCGGCTATTGTGGAGCATAGAGCGTTATGTATTGTACAAAGAAAGTGCGTTCATAAGTATTGCAGCAGGAGACAACACTGTCATATGTCCTCGGCTATGTGGGCGTGCTGTCTGGCTTATAGGTGAACGCTTTGTCTCGGCACACTAAAAGCAGCACCCTCGAGAAAAGCTATGTTTGATCCGCGTTCCTGAAGAGCATCGATAGCAGGGCCAGTCGGTCAGACTGCATTCCTAAAAACGTGACAAGCGTGTAAGAACTACAAGACATCGTCTCAGTCTTTAATCTAGTTTTGATTATGACCATGGTAACGACCATGATTGATTGATTGGTTGATATGTGGGGTTTAACGTCCCAAAACCACCATATGATTATGAGAGACGCCGTAGTGAAGGGCTCCTGAAATATCGCCCTCTTGGGGTTCTTTCACGTGCACCCAAATCTGAGCACATGGGTCTACAACATTTCCGCCTTTATCGGAAGCGCAGCCGCCACAGCCGGGATTCGATCCCGCGGACTGCGGATCAGCAGCCGAGTACCTTAGCCACTGGACCACCGCGGCGAGGCAGGTAACGACGATGGTGCTATAGACAGTTATCTTCAACTGTGAACTATCTTGGGCCGTGCCATTGAGATATAACCCCCTGATATACTTAAGTAACTTCTACGTAACTGTCTTCTGCAGTTATCGGTTTATGCTCCACGACATGCTGCCGTATGAGAGTTTGACAAAGATCTCCGACGAATTTTTCACTCACATGCGCAATAACCAGGACACAGGTAAAGTTCTTGCCTACGAATAATTTATTCATTTCAGCCGTCGTCACCGGTGCACCTCCTTATCAATGCAAGCCTGAACCAGCGCCCAACTGTTCCCTTGTATTTCCCAGCATTTTGGTAAGCCACACTGTTTTGTTTGGGACGGTTTGTATACGTGTAATAGCATAATCGCATGTTCCGTCATAACAGGACCTTGCCCCGTTTTTTGTGTTAGGTTAGCCTGAGTCGGATTGGATTTGATAAGGTTAAGCTAGATTAGGTTAGGGTTATAGGATAAGAAAAACTGACGCGCGTCTCAATGACTTCCCTACCTTTCCTACCAAAACACCCATTTGACAGCTACGTATACCTTGCTTTGAATCGACGTGCCAGTTTTTTACAACAGCTGACACTAATCCATCAGGGTAGTTACTGGATGAAAACTCATATTCTAGAATACACAACCTCACCAGGTACCGAGTACCAAGACAAGCAGAAAAGCCTCAAACAAACGTACAAGTTCGTGTCGGTTCCTAGTCCACGTCTTACTTCGAGTCACAGATCCTTTCCATCCTAGCACTATTCACCCTAGTCCGAGTCCGTCAGGAACAGTCTTTCAAGTCGCCTTTTCCTCCGACACAGTGTTTGCGAACGGCGTTCTGGCATCGTAACCCACATCGCATACTCACGGACGGAATGTGATCCGTCAGAACGCCGCGCTAAATCCGGCCAAAGCCGTGCAAACTCAAGGTCTTAGATCCCCCTTGACATTCTCATGTCAAGCTGTGAGCCCACACAAACATTTGCTTGTTAAGCCTGTCTACAGGCCTTGATATTCGAAAACGCGTTCCCTTTGTCCTTGCAGCTAAAGCTAATCGTTGGTTTGTTCCTTGTCCACGTTGTTGTTTTTAAGTTTGTTCTCTGAGCAAATAGCATTCAATTCTCCGTTGACAGCTACAGGACAGGAAAGGCTTGACAGGAAGGCATTTTACCCGGCACCGCGGCTCCGCACAAGCTAGTAAGATGACGATCGAGCCACAAAGAGAAGTGCTGAGTGCGTCACACACTTCGACGCTTTTATTAGGAATGTGTGCGTTGCGCACCACGTCGTGTAAATGTACAAAGACCAGCAATCATTGTTCTGTCAATTTGGAATGAATAGGAAAAGACAAGCTAACACGAAAAGTGCATTTGCTTTCCGCTTACGACATAATTCACGACATTGGCGAGATCCGTACTCAGAGAACCGATATAATATGGACATATATTCAGTTCTTTTCTGACGTCATGAAAATACATAAAAATTGATTGACAATGTGAAGAAGAAGTGAAGGACAAGGAGGGGGATGTGAAAGAATACAGAGCATACACAAAAACGGGAATGGGGTAAGGCAACAATTTGGCAGTTTGCAAATTACATTATTGAAGTTAATCTCAGATGCAACCTTCAACGAAGAAAATATAGTGTGAGGTTAAGCAATGAGACACGGATGGAGAAGCAACATTTTTGCTTCAAATAAAAAGAATGAATAAAACTACCTGAGGGATTCAGAGAACGATAGAAAAAAATTATTTAGAACTAACAAAGACTGCCCCCCCCCCCCCAAAAAAAAATCTGTCGTAAAGCCCGAATTCGCGTTGGTGTACTTGAGCATAAAAATGCCGGACAAATGTTTGGGGCAGGCAGAGCTAATAGTTTATGTATCATGGATATCAATCGTGAGATTAAACATCCAATGCACTTTCTGTTTTTTTTTATATGACCAAATACACTATCGTGTTATTATTAAAGATATGCTACATCTGACCTGATTCCTTGTCGATTACTTGCCGTAATTATAGAATTTGACAATTTGGAAATTCTTGACAATGTCGAAAGCTGGAAGTGTACAACCGTCGTGTCTTGTCAGCTCATCACATGGAGAAGAAACCTTGACATTAACAAAAAAACTTGAAAAGAAGCTAAGGACCACCAAGCGTGCGATGGAACGAAAAATCATAGGCGTAATTCTAGAATATAGGAAGACAGAGCACATACACATAGCACAAACAAGGAGAGCCGATATTTTAGCAGATATTATGAGGAGGAACATTGACTTCGGCAGGTCACGTCATGAGCAGGACAGATAACAAAGGGCCAATTAGAACGCCGGAATGTATGCCATGATGTGGGAAACGCGCCCTAGGAAAAGGACGGCAAAACGTTGAGGGGGGCGAAGAAACTAAGCAATTCAGGCGTGAAATAAAATCAGCTATGGTGACATATGGTAAACTGGACATCAATAAGAGATGCCTTCTTCCTGCAGGGGACGTAAAGCAGGTTGATGAAGACGAATATGATCGTGATCATGCACTTGCTAGTAATTCTGAAATGTTAAACTTCTTTATTCCTATAGGCATTCAATTCGGCATGGCCGCGTAAAAAACAACGCTTGCCGCAATCCTGAGCTTACCCATTTCTTGTGCAATAGAGTCTTTGATATTATTGCTCACGCGCGACGTGTTTGACGACGCCACCGTTCTTTGTTCCTCTGCTCCTGTATCCGTGTATGTGCGCCAAATCTTCTTGTCGCAATGCGCTACAGCTTCTCTAAAATATCGAATCTTCGCGCACTCCACGCCTGAGTGAAGTGTTCTTCGTAAGATGGCGCCACAGCCCCCCTTTTGTGTCTCACAAAGCTAACACGGCAGGGTTACCCCTGTGACAGCTGTAAAATACACATACGAGAAGAAAACAAAAAAATAATTATGAATTAAAGCACCAAAAAGCTACTTAGTCGCCACTGCACTTATCGTCAGGCTTTGTACTTTGTCTTTTCATTTTTAAAGCGACGCTCTTTTTTTTTTTCATTTTAGTCAGTGTTCGATACATGTCTGGTTTTTAACGTCGTATGAACGCCAGCCGAGCTACCGTAAATAACAATAAGTGTTGGCCGACAAATTATTGCCAATGAGCGCACCAGAAAGCAGTAATTAATTACATAAAACGTGAAAATATTAAATGAATTTATAAGCTTGCTACGAAGTGCATGCACATCGTACGATAACATAATCCACAGCCCTGCCATTTATTTTTCATATCGCCGCTATTTCAATTCAAGCACATTATCAGGGATGTCCTATACTGAACAAGTCTTCATGCCTGACTGATGATCTCCTGAGTCAATGTGCACCACTGTGACCCTGTTTTTCATACACAAATGTTTTCATACACAAATGTTTTCAGACCAAGTCTTCATGCCTGACTGATGTTCTCCTGAGTCAATGTGCACCACTGTGACCCTGTTTTTCATACACAAATGTTTTCCGTGCATAAACAGAAATATATGTCACTGAAAAAAGGGCCTTGACAAGACTACACAGATGGTTGCAAACCTAAATAGCATCGCGAAGCGCAAAGCAATAGCGTTCGCAATTACAAGAAACATCTCGTGTTCTTGGTGCATGCACAACGATATACGACACGCCTCGTCTCCTGCCTTGACCGGGTGCAGTTCTTGAACCCGTGCCAGTACGTGTGCTTCGAGCGACTGCTGCTGCCCAGCATCACCGTCAGAAAACACAACGATGGAACGCTGTGCACGGTAAGCGCATTGACGTCACGTTCAAAGCCTCCTTAGTGCCCGGAACGCTCTGTGCCTTGTTCTTTTCTCGGGTGAAATCGGTTCTTACAGGACGCTCCAGCTATCCGAGATTTATGCGCACTTATGCGGCTATTCTGCAATAACAGCACAGTGCAGCATACTACGTCATTGCTCTCTATCACCTGCACTGTCCTTATTTGCGTATACGTTACGCGATTTAAGCAATGTTTTCGCAGAACTGCGTTGTATTATCATAAGCCGAGAGCTCGATACGAATCGTTTTTTGTCTATCCTACACGTGCCGCTCAGATTAGTAGCATGTGAAGCTAAGTAGGAGTTAGTGTATGTCTCACGTACTGTACAGACCTGCATGAACAGATGTACTACTGGCAAGTGACTTACCGTTGTGATGAACGGCATTGTACTGTGTGCTCGCGCTCTGTGTGGTGCGAAAAAAGGAAGATTGGTTTTATCAACTATAGCCATAGACCAACGGCTGTCACCCACATTCGATTAAAAGTACAATGATGAAGAACGTTGCAGATGGGAAATCGAGCTGGTACAAAACAATAACGCGAACAGTAGCTCACTTGTCCCTGAAGGCTCGTAATGGTGACCACTTTTTTGTTATGGCGATTAGTATTTACATACGCAATTTCTAGGTTGAAATGAAACAGACAGTGTGAGTAAAATCTTCTCCCTTGTGTTTTTCCCTCCATTACTACCCCCTTCATCGTGTGGCAATCTATAGGGAAGGAGAGAGAGAGAGAGACAGGAGGTTGAGGAGGGGAAAAAACGGTGTAACTTGCATCTGTTTGAAACTGTTGACTTTCTCTCTCTCTCTTTTTCTCGGCGAATGTTAACCTTCCGAACAGCTGCTTTCCCGCTTCTTGTTTTGGAAAAGCGTTCTGGTGTTGCGAACCGAGCACTCCCGGAAGCTTTAGCTACTCGGTTGGTTATATGCAGCTAGGGATGATGCCCACCGCAACACGAATCGCCACCCATTAACTCCTTTACGCATGCGTGATAATCCTTTAAGCTAACGTCACCGATCCCGAAGTCTGAAGCACACCGCTCCTACATGTTGAGGTGGGGAAATCGAAAACCCAAAAGGTTCAGTTATGCATTCACCTCGGAAGACACAGCGAAAGCCATTTTCTCTTTCTTTCTCGGTCGATGTATTGATCCTCCACCGCCACCATCCGAGAACTTTCTGCATCTAATGTGCTTTTGTATTGCCTCCAAGATCGGAGGCGTTGCAGACTTTCTGCACCTCACATAATTTTGCATGGCCTCCGTGATCAGCCCAACTTAACCAAGTGATGATGTCGTGCGACGAATTCATCCTTTGATTTTATGATGTCATCACAAATTCAGTTATTGTGATCTCACCGGGATGCTTTTTTTTTATGTGATTGTGGGGTAGGAACTTAGTCAAACTGCCTGTCGCTTTTCTTCCCACTTCCTCCATCAACACTGTACCGGTGGAAATAAAATTATTATTATTATTATTATTATTATTATTATTATTATTATTATTATTATTATTATTATTATTATTATTATTATTATTATTATTATTATTATTATTATTATTATTATTATTATTATTATTGTGTCAACGCCGACGGTCAATTTGCGCGATTGATGAGGCATCGAAATTATTTGCAAATAAAAGCTGCAGCACGACAGTTCCCAGCTCATGAGAACATCCAGACGGCACACTTCAGTTTCGCTGGTGAATCCTCTATACGCAGTTCTTGGACGGTAATTTTAAGCCTACTTGGTCCTGACCTATGTTCGTAATTTTTATAGAAAGTTCACCTATATCTTATACGTTAACCGCAGAAATAGATTGACATCAATAGGCCGTCTCACGTTGAAATGTATTTAGGAGGATGTTCGACGACCAAGACTTCTGTTGGGTTGGAAGAAAAAATCAACGATGGAGAATATAATATACTCTACTGTGCAAGGGGTGCACGCAGCCGAAGCTGATTTCCAGTTTCACCACAAAAGTTTCACTACAGAAATTTACTATATCGCAGGCGATCAACATCAAGAAAAATTCAACATAGCGTAATGATAGCTTAGTAAACGTGTATGCTTACGAGAAGACGAAAAACTGAATTTAGTCACATAGACACAAAACCTCAAATGGCGTGCAGGCAACACATGCAATCGTTGCTTCACATATGTATATACGTGCACGCACGCACGCGCACGCACACACACACACACACACGCGCGCGCGCGCACGCACACACACACACACACACACACAGTATTGTCACTAACAGATATGTATGGTTCGTGTATACATTGCTTTGTGAACAAAAACCAGAAATAATACGTGAATATGTACATTTTGTGTATTTACATGGCGTTCCTGTCGTTACCAAACGATAAATCAGCCTACCAATACCAGGCAGGCCGAAAGGCAACCTTCACACGTCTCTGAGAGACGAACACGAAAGGCAGACTAGTGCAAATAGAATTTCTCCTGACCGAAAAAAAAAAAAAAGAGCTCCTACTAGAGAGCAGGCAGAAGCTCAGTGTGACAGTCCCTCCAAGATCGCGAACAGAGCGCGACGGCAGCGGATTGCCGCTAGAACATCGCAGGGATTGCGTCGAGAACCTTTAAACAACGGCAACAATGAGCAGGCACGCGAAGCGACCTAGAAAACAACGCCCAGGGGGTGCGTTAAAAGAAAAAGTGGATAATGATTTGGAGTATGAGGTACTCTATTATGTAAAAAGCATAAGGCCGTCCCGTCACACTTCCAAGTGTACGTGTGTGTGTGTGTTTTGAAAAAGTGGTAAACAATTTAGAGTACTAGATACTCTACTATGGGAGAGCATAAAGCCGTCCCGTAGGCCTCAAACCAGCCTGTACAAGACTCTGTATTTGGAAAAATTTATTGTCACAAACGTCAATAACGCTCAACAGAACGTTTTCTTCTGAGACATACAATAACGATGATGATAAACAGGCGTCATTTACATGAACATGTATATTAGATTACGTTGAAAGAACATGTACGTTTAATGGTTCACACAAACACAAACACAAAAAATATTTCAAGGTAAACAAGGTGCACAAATAAAACATGAATACGTACATTTTGCATACTTACATGTTGGCATGTCATTTCTGCCGGCGCATCGACACATCAGCCTACCAATACCAGGCCGGCCGAAAGACAAGTTTCGCTCGTCCGTCACAGACCGATATAAAACGGCAAGACCAGTGCCAAAGAAATTCCTCTTCACCGAGGAAGAACAGCTCCTCCGACAAAACAGACAGCAGTTCCGAGTACAGTCGCTCTAGGATCGGGTAGAGCGCGCGGCGGCGGCGGCCCGCTGCAACCGCCTCGCAGCGGTTGCGCCAGAGGCAGAAAGAACCGGCAACAATGAGAAGACAAGCGAAGCGGCCTCGCGAACAACGCCCAGAAGAAAGAAGTGATTTACTCCGAGGCAGCAAAATCCGGCATGTACGGCTCTCCAAAAAACGCGAGCAATGACACAATGCCTCAGAAAATACTGATTTGTTTCCCGAAAAGAGCAGTTCGAACATGTTGCTGACTAGACCATTCTCCACCTTTCGAGGTGGTCGAGAGTGGGAAGCACACCCCATCCCAGGCGCAACATGTAGTTCCGGAGGTGTCCAGGCAGAAAAGAAGCCGTTAACGTGCTCCCAGACACCCGTCTAGAGCGAGCACGGCGGGCTGGTGGGACCAACGGAAGCAAAAAAAAAAAAAGCAGCAGTCGTCTTAACTACGTGGTTGTTCAAAATATCTGTGCCAGCACAGGTCGACTGGACAAGGCTTTGTGTTTAGCAAAAAATGTTTAACGATTTCGAGTACTTGGTACTCAAATATGATAGAGCATGAAGCCGTGTGTTTAAAAACATTTGTTGACGATTTAGAGTTCTTGGTACTCTACTATGAAAGAGCATAAAGCCGTCCCGTGGGCCTTGCAAGAGGTGTGTTTAGAAAAAATTTATTGCCACAAACGTCAATAACACTCAACAGAACATTTCCGTCTTAGACATACTCTAACGATGATGACAAGACAGACGTCATTTACATGAACATGGATATGAGATGACGTTAAAAAAACATGTACATTCGATGGTTCACACAAACACAACCACAAAATACTTCAAGGTAAACAAGAGACAAATAAAACATAAATATGTACATTTTGCATATTTACATGTTGGCATGCCATTTCTGCCGGCACATCGACAGATCAGCCTACCAATACCAGGCCGGCCGAAAGACAAGTTTCACTCGTCCGTCATAGACCGATACAAAAGGGCAAGACCAGTGCCGAAGAAATTCCTCTTCACCGAGGAAGAAGAGCTCCTCCGACAAAACAGACAGCAGCTCCGAGTACAATCGTTCTAGGATCGGGTAGTAGAAACAATATCTGGCGAAATTGGTTTACCGAAGCGGCCGTTGTGAACTGCTAACGCCAATAATTACCTGTAAACACATCAACAGTTTTGGCTTCAGTTTGTACGCAGTATGTCTTCATTTGAAAGTATGTAAACTTAAAGGAACGGGTCTTAATTTTCAAGTAAAAAAATTATATTTCATGAGGAAGGCATAACTTGTAACCTAACTTTGATCTTTGAGCACTTGCACGGGAAAAATTTAAAAAAAAAACTATAAAGAAATGTGCTGCTGTGTAAGCGCTTGTGGGAGGCCGGCGTGTACATTGAAGCTCGCTAGTAGTCCCTTGCGTAACGCCAGCACTCATTGACCCATGTTGGCAAGAGACACCTACAGTGACCAGGTGCCGCTACGCAGCTCTCATCAGACGCCCCAGTGTTGCTGACCCTGACCGCTAGGGGCGCGAAAAACATGCATCCCACCTGTGCTACGGTTATGACATGGAGGAAGGAAAGGTGGGAGGGGCCCTGACGTCACTCGTTGTGGAACCGTGGTGAAGCCGGAAGTCGGCCATATTGACTGGGCAAATTATCCTCTCTT